TGGTCCATCAAGGTCAGTATTATCTATTCAGACTGACAGCAGCTCTCTAACGTCCCCTATTACCTGATCCCTTTTTAAACTGGAGATGCCAGGGACTAAGCCTGGTGCCTTTTTACATGCCAAGCAGATGCTCTGTCACTGAGCCACGGGCCCTGCCAATTGCAGAAGTCTCTATCAACGCTTTCCTCAAACACCCCAGTGATTTTTTTTTACCCTCCAACTAAGCAGAGATCTGAGATCAGAGGGGCTGCAGAAATATGTCCAGAAGCAAGGCAAGAGCGCCTGATCATCTGGGCCCCTTTCGGACCAGTCATGGCACAGAAACTTACTCGATATTCATTTGCATCACCATCCCCAGGGACGTGTAGCCAGCCAAGGCAAAGTTCTCCTGGTATCTCCCCAGCCGAATGGAGTCCAGCCAGTCTTCGACGGAACTGCAGCTGGTGAAGTCGATGCAGGCTCGCTCTGAGATGGTTTGGGTGAACCTGGAAGCGGTGGACAGATTGCATTCTGTTTTGTCTATGTGTGGCAATGGCAAAGAAGGAAATTAAATTACACGTGGGCAAAGGATGGGGAGGGAGGGCACAAGATACTATCGGGTACAGCCCTGACCTGGATAACCCGGGCAAGCCCGACCTCGTCAGATCTCGGAAGCTAAGCAGGGCCGACATAAGAACATAAGAGATGCCAATGTTGGATCAGGCCAGTGGCCCAGCCAGTCCAACACTCTGTATCACACAGTGGCCAGAAATACCAGGTGCCATCAGGAGGTCCACCAGTGGGGCCAGGACATTAGAAGCCCTCCCACTGTTGACCCCCCCAAGCACCAAGATGACAGAGCATCACTTGCCCCAGAGCCCCTATCTATACCTTGTGGCTGATAGCCACTGATGGACCTCTGCTCCATATGCTTATCTAATTCCCTTTTGACCCTGGCAAGTATTTGGATGGGAGACCTCCAGAGAATACCAGGGCCTGGGAGGCCAGAGGCAGGCCATCAAGCTACCTCTCTGAACATCCTCTGTGCCCCAGTAGGAGTCGCCAGAGGTTGCCATGACGTCCAGCCTCAGGCACACACACACACAAATGCAAAAATGCACACACACAAAAAGGGAAGAAGATCTTAGATAGGGGGTTCCATAGCCTCTGGGCATTTCAGCCATCCCCTTACACAATATGGGTCAACTCATGAGAAACAGGTGGTCTGGATTCACAACCAGTATCATTCTGGCAGGTAGACCCATTCATTGCTTTTTCTGAGATGGCTGCTTGGATCAATGCCAGGATAATGATGGGCAGTAACAGGCTCCAGCTGGGAAGCTCACAAGCAGACTGGCAGGCAGAGGTGGGCCGATTTTCTTCACTCCGGTCTTTTAAGGGGCCCTGGGTATGCACTTCCCCTACCATCCATTCCTCCCGAATTCTGGATTTCGTTCAGAGAATTTTCGTCACATAATTGGGTTCCTCACAGTTGACCACACTCTTCAGTTCCTTTGGATTTTTGCCCTCTTTGCTACCATCTGGACGTGCGCGCGCGCGCATTTTCTAAATGCCTTTTTATTCATTAAAGTATGCATCCTTTGCCTTTCGCTGAAGGTCTCTTAGAAACACAAAACACCGGGTTGCAGAATGGATCAAAAGAACACAATCCCATCAGCACATTTACCCTGTGTCAAGAGTCTGCGTTGATTTTCTGATGTGTGCATGTACTCCTGATCGCTGGTGAAACACCACACCAAAAGAATCGTGTACAGCCACCCCATGTTGCTGCTGCTTCTTCTTTTTTTTTGCAATGTTTTACCAAGGCACATTGACATTTCTATATTTTAAAGGGGGCAGAATTCCATGAATGAATTGAAGGAAACGGAAAGCAGCGACAGATGGCAGGTATACAAATTTAGAAAATAAAAATGGGGTAATGGAGGATTTCGAATTCAACAGTTCCATTTTGGAAACAAGATCAGGTAACTTTGATTGGGAGGAGAATTTGGATGAGCAGAATTTGGGGAGCGCTGCTATTTGGAAGACAGCTCTCCTCTTGCCCCAACAGCAAATCTCCACTCTGTTAGAGACCACATACCGGTTAACCGTAGACGTACACTTCAGGTTCTGCGGGATGCGTATCAGCTTATCCAGGACGCCCACGATCTGGGAGAAGCGTGGCCTGTCATTGCGGTCCTTCTGCCAGCAATCCAGCATGAGTTGGTGCAGGGCCGTGGGGCAGCCCATGGGAGCCGGCAGCCGATAGCCCTCCTCCACAGACTGAATGACCTACAAAGGAGAATGGGCCAAGACAAGCGTTACCGTGTGGGGTCAGATCACCAAGTCAATCTCACTTTCAGTATTCGTTCTTCTGACACTGGCCATATAGATGCCCATGAGAAGCCTACAACATGAGATGGGTTATGAAGACCCCACTGGTTGCGTTGCAAACTCCTATATAGCCTCCATATTTTTTTCTAATTTGTGGAAGGACCTGCTACTAGCAGGGGTCATTTCCTGCAGGAACGCACAGGAGCAGAGCTCCGGCAGTAAAGAGCCCAGGGGGCGGGCACATGCAACAAGCCCCACCCCCTGCTCCCAACAGCCCTCAGTCAGAGCAAGAAGCAGCCAGGTAAGCTGCACAGCCCCCCACCACCCATCCAAAACAGTCCAGTGGCACCTTTAAGACCAAGTCTTATTCAGGTAGAAGCTCTCCCTCCTCTGCAAGGGCATTTTGGCATGTCTCTGTGGTTTTTTTTTTACCATAGAGATTTGAAACAGTTCCTAAACCGTCACTCAGCAGTAACCCCATATCCTCCCCAAACTCCACTCTCCCCAGACATCACTTTCCAAATCTCCCAGCATTTGCTGAGGCCATGCTGCGAATCCTAATCATAGGAGGATGCATTTTGTGATGCTCCCCCACACGGCAGCCATTTTAGGGCGGCAACCCATGGCCTGTTCTTAGAACATCACAAGTTCTCGCAAATTCTGTGGAACAGAAGACCCCCTGTACTAGAGAGATAGCTGAGGTATACTTCTCTATTAATAGGGCCATGGGCAGACTGCTCTCCCTTCCTTATTGTGCTTCCCAAGCACGGATTTTGAGCAAACTCTCTTTTCTTAAACACTGAGCAGGCACAGCTGTCGTTCTCACATCCCGGTTGGTCATGTTCCAGTAAGGCCGCTCCCCATAGGCCAGGACCTCCCACATGACCACGCCGAAGCTCCAGACATCGCTGGCTGAGGAGAACTTTCGATATGTGATGGCTTCAGGCGCAGTCCACCGAATGGGGATCTTCCCACCCTGAAACACAAAGCGCAGGGCAATGAATGTGTGAGGTATTCTCCATCCAAATACACAGCAGGCGGCAGCAGCCCGATTAACCAACCATGCCCGGATCCAACACCTGCTGAAATCCCTTCTCCCTCCAGCTTCCAACTGAATTGATAAATCCATCAGAGGGAGGACAGAAAGCGGTCGGATACCCCTTGGCCATGCCTGGACACAGATCCAGTTGAGAGCACGCCTCCCTCCAGTACCTCTGGTTTATTAGTCATTTTAAAATCTCGACCATTTTGAGAGACCACTTTTGTTGGAAAGCGCTGTCACCCGACCTGATAGTTAAGCGCTCAGCTTGCGGATAACAAAAAAAAAATAATGCAAAAGGGCAAGGCAGAAATCGGAGGGATGTCTCTGCTCACCCAGGGAAACCCATTGCTTTGGAAAGAAAACATTACGTTCCCCTTTCACTCTTACAGTGGGGGGGGGACCCTAAATCCTAGGGGAAATGTAGACTGCACATACATAATACATCACCAGAGAATCCCAGTGGACAAAGCTCAGGCATAGTTTCCCCACTGGCTGTCAGGCAGGCTTCTTTCTACAACCCAGCAGCATGAGTTGGGGGGGGGTGCAGCAAAGGGACTCCCCTCTTCTATTTCACTTCCGCCTCCTCTTTTACCTCCGAGCCACTGATGAATCTAGAAAGCCACTTCCTTCCCCTTGGTTATGGGGAGCCACGGTTCTCCAACTGATCCTTGGAGCTTCCCCTGTCCGAGAAACAGCAACCACGGAGAATCCCTCACAGGGCAAAGGCTTGGAGGGGCAGACGGAGGAGGTAACCCTGCTCCTTCCTCAGCCTGCCTCTCTGAGTCTCAGCTCAGTGACAGCAATTTGTTTGCGGTTTTCTTCCAGGGGTCATTTCGTAGAAAAAGAGCTAGGGGAACTCATTAGCATAACTCATTAGCATATGCCACACCCCCTGACATCAGGGGCCTGGCGGGACACCTGCAAGGCCAGCGGGAGTGTGAGGAAGCCCCGCCAAGGCCCTCCCTGGGCCCAGGCAGGCAGGGGTGGGGAGAGGCGGGGAGGAAGCAACTTACCCTCCCTCTTCTCCTGCCTCCTCCTGGCTGAATGAGGGCTGGAAGCGGGGTGGCCGGAAGCAGGGGGCGGGGCTTCCTCATGTGCCCCGCCCCCTGCACCTCACCCGGGGGAACTGCGTTCCCCCTCGATCCCCCCCGAAATGACCTCTGTTTTCTTCAGATGGGAGAGGCACCGAGGAAAGGCTGAGGAATTTCAGAGATTATGGAACATTGGTGGGTTATCCCTACTTCCATGATTCCTAAGAAATAACGTTGTTGTAGTAGTAGTAAGCAAGACTCTATACCAGGGCTATAGGCAGGATTTTTTTTTACTTTGGGGGCACCCCCGCACCCCTAGGCTGTGTCAGGAGCAATGAGAGAGTAAAAGTTTTTAAAAGAGTGATGACAGAGAGAAGAAGAGAAGAAGAGATTGGATTTACACCCCGCCCTTCACTACTCAAGGGAGTCTCAGAGCGGCTTACAAACTCCTTTCCCTTCCCCTTGGAATCAAACCCGGTTCTCCCAGATTAGAGTCCGCGCACTTAACCACTACACCAAACTGGCTCTCCAGTTTGAGAGAGAGAGAGAAGTGAGAGAGAGAAGTGACAGGCAAGGGTGCCAGCAGGCAGGGCAGGGCGATGGCACAGCACGGCAAGGCCGTGGTGTGCGTGAAAAATAAACTAAAATAAACCAGCTGGATGGGGAGTTGGGAGGGTTGGGAGGTACGTTGTGGGGCCTGGCCCCAAGATGCCTCCCTGTAGCTACGGGCAATGTTCCCTCTAAGCTGTGGAGTCTTGTGAGCAAAAATTCTACTTTGTGACCTACTGGCATTAAAGTTGTGAGCAAGCGATTTGGCTACTGCATAAATTAGTTTGCTCTGGAGCCCTCCTTCCTGAGCCAAGACAGAAATCTGTGAGCTGGAGGCTAAAAAACTGTGAGCTAGCTCACACCAACTCAGCTTAGAGGGAATACTGGCTACGGGCCTGCTTTATACAAAGGAAGACCAAGTGTGGCCGCCATCTTGTTTCCCCGGCCTGCAAGGCAGCAGTCCACTGTGCCCTTAAGGTGACATTACCGTCGTCGTGTAAGCCGCATCCGGATCGTTCTCCAGGACTCGCGACAGGCCGAAATCCGACACTTTGCAGACCAGATTTCCGTTGACGAGGATGTTGCGGGCTGCCAAATCCCGGTGCACGTAGCCGAGGTCCGACAGGTAGCACATGCCAGCGCTGATGCCCCTCAGCATGACAACCAGCTGGAGGACTGTGAATTGCCCGTCATGTTTCTGGAAAGAGACCAGCCCATTGTTTTGTTTTGTTTTTAATCTGCGACATTTCACTGGGCATTTCAGGCACGTAACGCAGCAGCCCTCAGGTAAGGCTATTCTGTGAGGATGTATGCAGATCTACAGAACTAGGATCATTAGCCGGCTGGGGAAGTCCACTCACAGCAGTCTGGGCACACGTAGGACCTGCTTCTCTAGATTAAGATCACTGGAAATGCATTCTGTCTTTCAGGAACAGCCATACTTGTGCAGTACCGATTGGCCTGTACTTGTGTCAGTCACATAGCCACTCCCTTCACCTTTTCGCAGCAGTTTTTAAAGTGTAAAAAAAAAAATTCCTCTATTGAATAATCAAGGGCTGAACAAACATCTGAGCAGATAAACTTGCAAGATGCTTTAAAGTGAACAGCCAATTGGAAGCACGGGGGGGGGGGATAATGACGAAAAAGGAGGAGGAGATTGGAATTCTACCCTGCCCTTCACTCTGAGGGTCTGGTCACACTGACGTTTAGTGCGGGATTCGCTGCTGATCCCTCCCGCATTAAAGGTTCCTGTCTACATAGGCAAACCCGCCTCCTGCACAGAAGCCGGCAGAGTCCCGCAGTTTCCGCACTTTTATCTGCGTTTTTTTGACACCCGTTGGGACAGGTGTTTTCCGATATTTAGCGCTTTGTATCCAGGGTTTTGGTATCTGGACAGCAATCCGCCGTGACTGTGCTACCCTCCCCCCTGGGTTTTTTTTTTGTGTGTGTGTTTCCGGTTTTAGTTATGCGCTTGTGCAAACAGGCGCTAGCTTTTATTTTGGTCTTTTTAAAACGAAACACGCTAACGAAGGAGTAAGCCCCACTGAGCTGACTGCATTCCACTGCACTCCGTTGGCTGCCTTGCAAGCAAGCGGCTCTCGTCTCGCCCCCTCCTCCTCCCCCCGTTCATTTTGCCGCTGATATCTGACACACAAGCTGCCAGGCGGCAGCAGCAGCAGCAGCAGGGGAGGTGAAGCCGGGGAGGGGAGGCGAGGCGGCAAAGGCGGCTCTGGTTCCTGGTTACTCTCCCGCTTACTCATTGCTGGGAGGTGGGGGGGCGCAGCGGACTGAGCGCCCCTCTCAAGTTACTTCCAGTGCCGACAGAGAAAACTGTCAGTACAACACACTGGACGCCGTTTAAGAACAACTGCTGCCCCCCCCCCTCCTCGGTCTAGCTCTCCCTTCCCGAGTTTCCTCCTTCCCTTCTGCATAGAAAGCCAGGAGTCTTCGACTGTTGACAGGAGGAATTAATTTTAATTAGTTTGTATGTACGCCCAAGCGCATGGAAAGACAAGCGCATGTGCAGGTTTTTTAAAAACAAATACCCGCGCCGCCGCGAGGACGGCGCGGTGTGTGAACACTAAATCGCGCGAGTGAAGCGGAAGACAGAGGGACCGTCTGACCACCTCCAAGCGATATAGAATGTCCCGGATATAAGAACTGCGGGACAACTAGCGCGGTAAGAGGTTCGTGTGACCAGACCCTGAGTCTCAGAGTGGTTTACAATCTCCTTTCCCTCCCCCCCCCACAACAGACACCCTGTGAGGTAGGTGGGGCTGAGAGAGCTCTTTCGAAGACTGCTCTCGAGAGACCAGCTCTGAGAGAACTTGTGAGTGACCCAAGGTCACACCAGCAGCTGCCTGTGGAGGAATGGGGAGTCAAACCCGGTTCTCCCAGATTAAAGCCCGTGCTCCTAACCACTACACCAAACTGGCTCTGAGAGGGTGATAGATTAAAAGGGTGTCCTGTGCCCTTTGAGGAGAGATGGTGGAAGGCAGCAGAGCACCTCCTCCGGAGGATGAAGCAGCTACCTGCTTCTACTCATTGATACATCTACGCAGAGCCTGAGATTACCCAGCCTGTGTGGGACTGGACATAAAGGTGCCAGCTATAGGTCCCTTGACAGTTCCTTGACCCTCCAGGCACCATATCACCCCATCCCTCGCCTGCTTGAATATCTGAATCCCTTTGCTTGCAACAGCCTTGCTGGCGGGGCTCTGAGAAGTAATTTTGAGAGGGGGGGAATGGGAGGAGCCAATGCGGGGAGTACAGCATATTCAGCTCTTCCCTCCCACTCATTTCCCACTGGATGTGAATCCAACATGGCCGCTGCAGACCAGACCGATGAGCAGGAAGCCCCTTTGTCCTCCTGACTCCTCTCCTTCTCCCTCCCCCGGGGATTTAGATCCTCAGAGATGCAGTCCCCCAAGGTGCCTACATCCAATGCTAAGGGCCTTTAGAACGACATTTTCCAGAGCGTATCTACATGCCTTGAATGCTGCCGCAACGTTACCCAAGGCACTGGGGGAGAGGAAGAAGGCAAGGAAAGAGGCAGAGGGGCTCTTTTCTCTCCCACTGATTGCCTGGCTGGCTGCAGTGACACCAGCCAGGTAAAGGTGGGTTTGGTGAGGTTGGTGGGTGGGTCCGCAGGGAGATTGGAGAAGCAGTGGGTGGGATCCTCGGGGGTGGGTATGGGGCTTAGGGTTTCCAGTTTTGGCTCGGGAAATTCCTGGAGATTTGGGGGAGGGGGTGGAACCTGGAAAGGCAAGGTTTGGGGAGGAACCTCAGCAGGGCATGACTCCATAAAGCAGGGGTGTCGAACTCATTTGTTATGAAGGCCAGATCTGACACAAATGTCCCTTTCTTGGGCCAGGCCATGTGTGCCATACAATGTAATGCCAGGTACTGGAGATATAAACTTTAAAAGGAACACAGGCAAACTCAATTCATGATATTGTTTTTACTCAAAATACTAACAAAAGCAATTGATTCCTAGCAGTGAATGCAATTGATTTACTGGGGAGCCCACAACCCCCCCCAAATGTATTTAATCATATGCGAGGCTAGACTTTTCCTCCAAGGGATACCATAAAAGGGGGAGTACCTTGTATTTCCATACATACCAGTTGCTTGTGGGCCAGGTAAGAGCCCGGACGGGCCGGTTCTGGCCAACGGGCCTTATGTTTGATACCCCTGCCATAAAGTCTACCCTCCAAAGCAGCCATTTCCTCCAGTGAAACTGAACTCTGTCATCTGAAGAATAGCTGTAATTCTGAGAGACCTCCAGGTCCCACCTGGAGGCTGGCAACTCTGGGGGCTCTCCAAAAAGAAAAGCAGTTGAGCCCTATTCCAAACTGAGCTGAGGGAGTGAGCCTATGGTCCTTTCCACACTAGACCTTAAATCCTGGTTCGAACCTGTCCCTGAACTTACATTCTACACTACACGCAAGTTCACCCTGGTAATTATCTCGGGGTATTTGTACATTCTACACTACACGCGAGTTCACCCTGGTAATTATCTCGGGGTATTTGTACATTCTACACTACACGCGAGTTCACCCCGGTAACTATCTCGGGGTATTTGTACATTCTACACTACACTCGAGTTCACCCCGGTAACTATCTCGGGGTATTTGTACATTCTACACTACACTCAAGTTCACCCCGGTAATTATCTCAGGGTAATTTTTGTTTCCACATTGCATTGACGTCACCCCAGTTTTGCCCCACACTTGTCCCGGGATAAACAGATGCTATTATAACCAGGGATAAATGCAAGGTATTGTGTCGAGCTGAACTCTGATAAAATCAGGGACGAGATCCAAGTGTAAAAAGGACCTATGGCTGCGGTCACACGGAGCATTAGCCACGCTACAGAGACGGAAGATAGGTGGATTTTCCTGGCGCTATCACACCGCAACATCTGGGAAGCGTAGAGCTCCCGTGGCTAACCCGAGGCTTACCGCTGAAGATGCGCCGTAAAAAACTAGTACCTCCGAGGTACTAGTTTCCAGAAACCGCGGGGCAAGGGCGGGCGTCTGATCGTGGCATCCGGCGCCCGCCCATGTCCCATGGCAAAAAGTCCCCCCCCCAAGTCTCCACAGGATGCGCACAAGCACCCAACGGCGCATGTGCACACTTTGGTTTTTAAAAACCCACAACGGCAGCGGCACCTAGCCATTGCTGCTGTGATCGTGCCACACAGCTTCTTTGCTGCGCCACAGGATTGTCGTATGATTGGCACCTCCCCCCAAACCACGGGATGTCGGCTGGACGTATGATCCGGCGGCCGCGCGGTAGTTCGCTCTGGGGCAAACAGCCACGCCCCCCCCTGCGATATCCAGCCTATGTTTAGTTTCTGGGGAGGGGGGGAGGGGAAACCCATCTTTAACTTACAGCTGTCCGTCAAAAGACAAAGACACTCAGGAAATTCCAGCCACTGCTTTTACCTGCCCCCACCAGACTACATCAGTCCCTCAGCCCCAAGCCATGCATATGAATAAGAAGGAGGGTTTCTACCCGAAGAAAAGAATCCAGCGAGCCGTTCTCCATGTACTCGGTAACAATCATGACTAATTTGCCTGCAAGAAACAAGAGAGGCCACATTAACAGCGAGGTCACTTTGAGGCGAGACTCTCTCAGCAGTCTTCAGAGGCGGAGGACAGGGTGGACGGCACGGGGACCTTGCGAGAGCCCCTGTCTGCCCCATGGCAGCCGGAGAACGAGGATGAACAAAAAGGCCGTCTTGTCTCAGATTGGCAGCCAGGAGCTGGGCAGCTGTCGGTCACCTTATGAAGCCAGTCTCATTTACCCCCAACGCTATTGGCATGCCATCGCCATTCCGCTTTCCATCAGGACGGGTGACCACGGCTATTTTTGTCCTTCCAATGGCCCTGGTGAATGCTAATGCCCCCCCTCCCCATGACAGCAGCCACGATCCCGGGTGCGGAAAGCGTCGGACCCCGCGAGCCAGATGCCCACGCGTGGCCACGGGATCAAGCGGGATAAAGGCCGGGGTGCTTCTTTGTTTTGCCCCCTTTTCATCTCCACCAAATGACCGGCTGCAGAGAAGCAAGGCTGGAATAAATGGCTCGTTTTTGCTAATGATGTCAATTAGGGAAATGAGGACAGCAGCCAGGGACAAGCTGTCTCGACTTCACACACACTCCCTTCTGCTTGATCTTTTGGAAACCAGGAGCGGCATCCGAAAGACAGAGGCTGTTTTTGCTCCTCTGGCCTAGTGCAACCTGTCCCCCCTGAGCCTGACTTACATGGCTTTGGCGGGACCAGGTTTTTAGGTATGAGGTTGTACCTTAGTAGGTGGGTGAGGTCCGGTCAACGCCAGATAAGTCCCGCTCATCAGTTCCATGGCAACAATTGCCACTCTGCCCAATGGCTGAGGTCCACCTATTCCATGTTCTGGACCAATCTGCACTGCGATTGGACAAGGCCCAAGGATGAAGGGGGCGGAAGGAGGGGCCGTGGCTCAGTGATAGAGCATCGGCTAGGCATGCAGAAGGTCCCAGGTTCAGTCCCTGGCGTCGCCAGTTAAAAGGACCAGGCAGTAGGTGATAAGGACATAAGAACATAAGAGATGCCAATGTTGGATCAGGCCAAAGGCCCATCCAGTCCAACACTCTGTATCACACAGTGGGGAGAAATACCAGGTGCCATCAGGAGGTCCACCAGTGGGGCCAGGACATTAGAAGCCCTCCCACTGTTGACCCCCCCCCCCAAGCACCAAGAAGACAGAGCATCACTTTCCCCAGAGCCCCTAGCTATACCTTGTGGCTAATAGCCACTGATGGACCTCTGCTCCATATGCTTATCTAATTCCCTTTTGAAGCCGTCCATGCGGGGCTGGGGCTGGGCCAGAGGCATTGCTGTGCTAGGAGCAAGGGTGGCTCCCGGGGGAGGCTGAGCACCTTCCTGAAAATTTCGGTGGAGGCTGAAGCCCCGCTGCCCCTACGAAGATTACGCCTATGTCCACCTGAGATAGGCTTGCCAGGTCCCCCTCCCCGGGGCACTGGCGGGAGATGGGGGCGTAGGGTTGCCAGGTCCAGGCTTGGAAACTCCTGGAGATTTGGGGGTGGAGCCTGGGGAGGTCAGGGACCTCAGTGGGGTACAGTGCCACAGACACCACCCACCAAAGTACCCATTTTCTCCTGGGGAACTGATCTCTGTAGTCTGGAGATGAGCTGTAATTCCGGGGGATCCCAGGTCCCACCTGGAGGCTGGCACCCCTAGCCTGGGATCTTGGAGACCCACTGCCAGTCTGAGTAGACAGTAGTGCCCTTGAAGGTCTGATTCAGTATAAGGAAACTTCACACGTTCATGTGAAGGCAAGCGGACACTAGTAACATATTGGATGGCCCCATGGATGGCAAGGGCCGTGGTGGCTCAGAGGATAAGACGCTGAGCTGCAGACTGGAAGGTCTGTAGTTTGGCAGTTCGAGACCCCAGTGCTCTGTGATGGAGTGAGCGCCCGTCTCTGGCCCCAGCTCCTGCCAACCTAGCAGTTCGAAAGCAAGAAATTGCAGGTAGATAAATAGGTACTGCTCTGGTGGGAAGGTAACAGCATTCCGTACACCTCGGCGTTCAGTCATGCCAGCAGTGTTCCCTCTAAGCTGAGTTAGAGTGAGCTAGCTCACAGTTTTTTAGCCTCCGGCTCACACATTTTTGTCTCAGCTCAGGAAGGAGGGCTGATTTATGCAGCAGCCGAATCACTCGCTCACGACTTTCATGGCAGTAGCTCACAAAGTATTATTTTTGCTCACAAGACTCCACAGCTTAGAGGGAGCATTGCATGCCAGACCGGGAAATGTCTTCAGACAGCTCTGGCTGTTCGGCTTGGAAACAGAGATGAGCACTGCCCCCTAGAGTCAGATTCGACTGGCTTTCGAGCAAGGGAAACCTTAACCGTTATGGATGGCAAAGGCTGGAGAATAGCCGCATGCTGTTTCAGCTTCCCTCGCTGAGCCAGATATACAATATACCACACTGAACTCACCCAATCTCATCTGATATGTCTAATTAAGTCATCACGAATGACTTCAGTGTTGACCATAAATCCCTGTTCGGGGTTGGCCTATCATTCCAGCAAACAACCCTTCCCAAACCTTCCCTGCTAGGGTTGATGGGAAGTATCATTTGCATGGCCCCCAAACTTGAATCAGAATTGGAAAAAAAACCTATATAATGCTCATTGACCTCAGTGACCCAGCACATTCTGCGCATGCATCAACAGCAGCCACTGTCTGACTCTACCTGTACGACGACAAAGAGAGGCAGTGTGATGTTATGGCTTTACGGTGTTAGGTTACCCATCTGGGACACTCGTGTTCAAAACCTCACTCCGCAGTGGAAACTTGCTGGGTGACCCTGGGCCAGTCACACCCTCTCAGCCTAGCCTCCCTCACAGGGCTGTTGTGAGGATAAAAAGGAGGGGGAGGATGCAAGCTGCTTTGGGTCTCCATCAGGAAGAAAGGCGGGATGTAAATGAAGTCGATAAATAAAATGCTGCCAACTGCACAAAGACAAAGGCACTCGGCATATTCTTCGTTTTAATTGTGGGGGTATCAAAGCTCGAGAGAAAACACGCATTATAAGCACATTAAGTCCTATTTGCAAACAGGCCCATTTGCAAACACCGCCAAGCGATCACTCGAGTTCCGTGTCCATAAAAGATCTGCCGTCCTTCAGGATGTCTTAGGTTTCAACCGTGCTGCCCTCATTCCAAGGATCTCATCCCTGTAGGGTTGCCAGCTCTGGGCTCGGAGATTCCTGGAGATCGGAGGGTAGATCTTGGAGAGGGCAAAGGCATCGTGCCATTGAGTCCACGCTCCAAAGTATCCAGAGGTCATTTCGGGGGGGGGACGCGGGGGAACGCAGTTCCCCCGGGTGAGGTGCAGGGGGCGGGGCACATGACAAAGCCCCGCCCCCTGCTTCTGGCCGCCCCGCTTCCAGCCCTCATTCAGCCAGGAGGAGGCAGGAGAAGAGGGAGGGTAAGTTGCTTCCTCCCTGCCTCTCCCCACCCCTGCCTGCCTGGGGCCAGGGAGGGCCTTGGCGGGGCTTCCTCGCACTCTCGCTGGCCTTGCAGGTCCACTGCCGGGCCCCTGATGTCAGGGGGTGTGGCATATGCTAATGAGTTATGCTAATGAGTTCCCCTAGCTCTTTTTCTACGAAATGACCCCTGAAAGTATCCATTTGCTCCAGGGGAACTGATCATGGTTGCCAACCTCCAGGTGGCACCTGGAGATCTCCCGCTGTTACGATGGATCTCCAGACAACCAAGATCAGCTCCCCGGGATAAACTGGCTGCTTTGGAGGGTGGATATCCAGGGACGTAGCTAGGTGGGCCCCTGGGGGCGGTGCCCCCTCCTGAATCTGCAATGCCCCCCACCCCGGAGGATGCCAGACCCACCCATCCCCGGTGCTCCTTACCCCTCCGGGCAGTTGCCATGACCTCACCGGCTTTTCCTGCTGTGGTCAAGAAGGGGGGGGAAGAGAGGGGTGGCCTCACCAGGTCTTCCTGCTTCCGCAGCCGGCTTCTCAAAGCCCTTCTCCCTCCTTTCCTGCTTGGCCGCAGGAGGAAGAGGTGGTGAGGTCACGCGGTGACTGCCTGCTCCCGTACGCCAAGGGCTATTTTTGGGCAGGAACGCACAGGAACGGAGTTCCGGCTGGCTCCCAAGTTGGCCACGCCCAGCAGGAACTCATTAGCATAATAGGCCACACCAAACAGCAGGAACTCATTAGGACTGGCTACATGAGGGGTGTGTGGCCTAACATGCAAAGGAGTTCCTGCTACAAAAAAAGCCCTGGGTTTTGACCACAAACAAGGTTAACAGAATAACAAGCAAAAGGTGGGTGTGGCTGGATGAGCACACTTCTGGTAACATGGGGGTGTGGTCTAATGTGCTAATAAGTGGTGCGGTCAGGGTGTGGCCTAATACGCTAATGAGTTTTGCTGTTGGGTGTGGCCTATTATGCTAATGAGTTCCTGCTGGGCTTTTTCTACAAAAAGAGCCCTGCCTATGCCTACGCCTCTCCCTCCCCTCCACTGCGCCTGCACCAGGCACAGTGCAGTGCTGGGGTGAGCCATTCTTCCCTGCCCGCCTGCCGAGCCTCACCAGTTCTTCAAGCCACCTTAGTTTAAGTAAGTTAATTAAATAAGTGCCCCTGGCATCCTGGCGCCGCCCCCCCAGTCCCTATCTACGGACCTGACTCTATCACATTCTAACCTGCTGAGGTCCCTCCCCTTCCTAAACCCCACCCACCCCAGGCTCCACCCACAAAAACTCCAGCTCTTTCCCAACCCAGAGCTGGCAACCCTGGAACTGATCTCTGCAGACTGGAGATCAGTTGGCCTTCTGTGAGATCATGGAAAGAGT